AGTGTATCTTACTTCTGAGTATTGTTGTGCTCAGCTACAGTTATGCAATTAACCTTGTATCCCTTCTCTTCTGTTTTTAGTTTTCAGCCCTGTCTTTCTGTCTATGATATTTGGCAGGAAGCATATGGACTCTGAAGGGGTTTGTATGCATCTGTTGATAAAAGCATCAAGAAGTAATCCAAAAATCCAGACACACAACTAAACTTCTTGCAGCATTTTGTCATTCCTGCTACATTTGGAATCAGCTTGTGGCTGATTTGATTTTGACCTTGGGGACTTTTGTGCCACCATACATTACATAGATTGACAGAGGCAGACAGAATTCATGATGCTAGCTCAAGTAGCAAAGTGGTTACGTACATACATAGCAAGGCAGGAGATGGCAACTGTCAGGAATCCTTTCCTGGGAGAACAAAGGCTGTACAAAACAGCTTTAGAGAAATTTAAATTATCGTACCTCTTATGACCAGTTTTATTTGACAGTTCACTGAGCCTCTCCCACTAGTTCCACCTTGCATGCATTTTGTTAATGCAAGTCGGAGAGAACAAATGGAAATCAAGCTGACTGGGGAAGGAGTTGTAGAAGTTGTGTTAAGCATGCACAGAACTGCATCCTTAATGAAAATTGTTACTGGCTTAAATCAGGTATTTCTAACATTTATATTTTTGGTTAAGAGTTACTAGGAAAGAAACTTTAGGGAGTGAAACTTCTGCACTTAATTTTGTGCTATCATATTTTAATCTTCCTTCTCTACAAAGAAATGTTTGTCTAAATGTGAAAAGCATGGATCATCACAGCAGTAGTATTAAGCTGTTGATATCAGTATATTGCTACCACTAACACTTTGTCTTCTATCATTTGTATGGCTGGCAGGATCAGCTCTAAAGTTCTGATTCAAATGTCTCACCATCCTTGCAAAGGCTGTAAGCAATGCTTTTGTAGCATATGGCCAAAATATTTAAATGTAATTTGTGTTGTTTAACCCAGTTGTCAGGAAATCTCTAAGCAAAGGCATTGCATTATTGTGGTGGGGGCTGTACTGCCATGAAGCAATTCCATGCAACTGTGTGATGAATAGAATACCAACATTGTGCTTGCTTACTTTCAAAGCTGCAGTATGGCATGATTTTTCATAGGCCTCAACATGGTACCTTCTCTGCCTTTAAGGACTGCATAGAAGAGAAATATCTATCAGGTTGGGCTTTCTTCCTGTGTGCTGAGGCAATATGAGAAATGACACCAAATTCAATTTCCATTTCTGTATAGGAATTCTGTGTCGGAATCTGACAGTTTAAAAGACTTGCATTATCTAAATAACAAACACCCTATGTGTGCTTTGTCTTTCTGTGTTTAAATGTGTAAGCAAGCATGTGCATGCGGGTACAAACACATACACACACACACACTTAGGGAACAGGAAGGTACATAAATCTCCCATTTGTTTCCTCCCCAAGGACAAGTTTATGTTTAGATAAATGACCAGAAAGAGATGTATTGTCTAGATGTCAAGCAAACTGACAAGAAAGATTTTCCTGTTTGCTTTGGTGACTTGTTGCAAGATCCTAGTTATATCTTAACAGTGCATGCATAAAAATAATAGCCATGTAAACAAAACACTTAGAGTGTGACTTTATGTTTGACAGGTTCAGCTTGCCAGGCATGTAAGCCTTGGCCTCATTGGTAGTTCTCAGGAATTAGGTGTAAAATAACTAGAAGCTTTCATCATCAACCCAAGGATGAGCACTCCCGCTGGGTACAAATGCCAAAGACAAATAAAGGAGAACTTAGCTGCAATGGCAATTTGTAAGTAGTGCAATTTGAACTGATATATAAATTGAGATGTGTGTGTCTGTCTCCCACTCTTTTCAGTAAAGCAAACTAGCAAGTAACAGTAGTCCAGAGACTGCAAGCATAGCTAAGCCAGACTTTGAAAGAGACTTCCATTCATTTTACATATTAGTGAGCATAGTGACATGATGCATAAATCAGCCAAGCCACATATGTAAGGAATCCAGATAAACTGATGTGATCCCCATTTTAGAGTTTTCTCAATTTATTTCCAAGATTTATTTGCACATACATACATTTAGGGCTGGAGTGCAAACCAGTAGTGGGACACAGGTAAAAACAGGTTCCAAAGAAATCCAAAGGACTTACTTCAGGTTATTTTCTCACTAACGTTGGGGCAGAGAAAGGACTGATAGGAAAAAAGTTATTTACAGTTTCTTTTGATTTTAGTTGCCAACTATGTTCCTCTGGTGTACTCCTTACTATGGAATGTTACTGAACATATAGTACAATCATCCATATATGCAGCAAAGAACATGAGGGCAACCATGGGTTAGAGCACTAGTGGTTCTAAGGCTCCAACAGTCAGTGGGAGCTACTTCTGAGTAAACATGTACAGGATTCCACAGTAAGTCTGAAACCTGGTACTAGTAGCATAGTTCACACTATGGCCTTGTAAATCTATCCGAGAGCTTAATTTTCTAAATTAAAATGAAGGGTGCTAAGGCTAAAATATATCTGAAGTCACACTCTTACCTGGGTGTCTTTATCATAGCTATATAGGTGCAGCCTATATTGTTTTCCAGTGTGACAGAAACATACCATCTACATACAGAAAAACAATTTTTATAGTTCTTTTGTATGTTCTAGGCATGAAATCAGGTATTGAAAATATGTTGTAGGCTTAATCTCTAATGCAAATTAAGACCTTACTAATTGTTGTAACTTTTTAATCTCTCATCAGAACATAATCTAATGTTAAAGTTAGTTCAACTTGCCTCCTGTGAAATGTCACATCCTTCACTGCTGTGATGAATAGCATCCTCCCCTGCCCCCCACCACTATTGAGCTAGGGAATTTGAGAAATGTAGTAATGCTAAGGCTGTCATAGAAAACCTTCAGAATTAAAGTATTTTCTCTATTTCTGATACTGGCCTTAAGTACTACAATGGAAATGGGAAAAAACCCCCTCTCACTGGTAGAGTTGGTCTTGATTCCATAGCTGGTCTACTCTTCTTCCTTTAGTTCTCCTTCTTAAATTATTTTTTAATTTCTAATGTTTATGGTGGTACTTACCTTTCAACTATATGTGGATACTCTCCCCACTGCTAAAATGGTCCAAAACATAATACTGGATTCCATCCCCACAGTTGAGAATAGTAGTTCATCACACAAGTGGAGTGGCAGTTCACTTGGAAAAGGAATCTCAAAATACTTTGTAAGGATGACTTCAGTGTATAGCTGATAAGCCTCCTTAGCCTCAATTCTACAGTGAGGCTGACTGTTTTTTAACTGTAAATTGTCCTTGCATTGCAAGGGTGGGCAACTTGTGACCCTCCACATTTTTTGGTCCACAATTCCCATCAGCACTTACCAGTATAGTCAATGGTCAGGGTTTAGTGGAGTCATAGGACAAAACATTTGGGAGCCCACAAGTCGCTTTCCAACACCCATTTTTCATATTCTTAGTTTAGTGGTTCAATATGGGATCTGTGCACTTCAGTGTTTAGTCATGCCAGTCACATGGCCATGGAGACTGGCATGACTAACTGTGGACAAATGCTGGCTTCCTCAGCTAGGAAACCGAGATGAGCACTGCCCCATAGAGTCAGACATGACTGGACTTAATGTCAAGGGGAAACCTTTACCTTTACCTTTATGGGCTTAGTTAGCACACATTCAATAATATGCTACTGATCTACAAGATCTGAATGTATGTGGGTAACTTGTGTAGTACGAATAGATCTACAGACTGGTGCAACTGAACAGCTTGATAGCAGCAGCACAACAGAACAAATATTGATTTAATTTACTAGAATGGGTTGAGATGACTTTCTACTGCCAGGTTACACGTGAAAACCAAATTTTCAGTCAGGGCCACTTTGTTTTTTTTCCAGGTATGGCTCCTGTTTCTTTAACAACTGTACAACTTGCACAAATTCAATAGGATAAAAGTTTATCATATGCATTTCTGTGCCAGGAAATGTATCTGGGCCTGTAGCCAGGAATTGGCTATATTCCTCCCTGCGTTTTTTTCCACTGATAATTGAAGGTCTATTTTCAATTTTGTCCTTAAAAACACATAAACCCACAACTTTTTTCCTCTTCGAACTTGTAGGCTGACTATGGGCCTGAAAACACCACCTACTTATTCCGGCCCATCATACAGTTAGGTACAGGAGCCTTGAAAGAAAGAAGTGATACCCTCATAGTTGACAAGTTCCCATATCTATCAAGACATTGCAAAGTTCTCCGCAAAATGATACAGACACCAACAGATACAGCATAGCTTGCAATTCCCAAAGGATGCAGCCCTATTTACTTGGTGGTACCCACCCCTCCCCACCCCAGCCTTTGCTCGATTCCGCGGATGTTCACTCGGAAGTAAGACCCACCCATTTCAACAGCGATAGTGTTTAGGAATAGGATCCCGGCCTTCACTTACTTCCGAGAAACATGCATAGAATCGGGCTGTTCCGAGTTGCTGTCGCTCTCCCGGATTCTTCGTTACCCCGAAGTTTCTTCTTCCAAGGAGGCCCTGTTTACATTGTGCCACAGTGGGCAGCCAGCAGTAGTACGTACGCACGGGGGTCGGGAAAGAAGACCAAACTTACAACAGCTGCATAAAGGCCTAGCGCAGGCCCTCTCCTACGTGCCTGCAATTTCTCCTTCTGTAGCAGTTCTTTGTTGAAGCCACCTTTGCAGCTTCTGCACCGCCCATCCCTTGAAGAAAGGGAAAAGGGATCTCTCCAGCTCTGCCTTTCTCTGCATCGTTCAGGCCAGTCTCTTGACACAGAGGAAGCACCGCCCGCTGCACGGTTCGTTTTGCTCCTTGCAATGCCACTTTTATTTCTTACACAACCGGGTCCGACACCTTTCTTACTTCTCGCCCCTCCCCCTCTCCTAACCCAGCAGGCATTTGACAGGAGCACCAGTCACGTGGCAGCCGGAAAGCGCTTCTTTGCGACCTCAATGACAGGCAAAATGTGCGACAGCCGCTTGTAAAGCAGGGAGGAAGCTGTTCTAGTCTAGTCTCCTCGCCTTTTTATTTAAAGGCAGGGCTGAACTGCTGCCCTGCACCCCTCAGATTTCCAGTCCCTCCCCTCCCTTTCCCCGTCCCTAGTCGCTAGGACAGCGGATCTGGAGAGAAGGGGCTGTATTGGGGGGGGCAGCTTTGGGAGATTGACCGACTTTGGAGTTTTAGATGAGCTCTTAGTCTCCTTTCTCTTCCCTCCCTCCCCCCACCCCCAAGTCCCTTGAGCCCAGTTCTCGCCAGCAGCAACCTCCAGGTGCACCGTTCAGGCAGGAGAAGGGGACACTACCGGCTGCAATGGCGTCCAACATGGATAGAGAAATGATACTGGCTGATTTTCAGGTAAATTTCAAATCGCACTACCTCCCGTGCTACCATATTCTAATCATGATCTCTCTATCTCTCTCTCTGTCTCTCCCCCCTTCCCTCCCCCTCTTCTCTTTCTCGCTTCCTTTTCTCCCTGTTTTTCTGCTTCCTGTGTTTTTGTGGGAAGATTTAAGCGCTGGAATTGTAAGCCTGTTTCTGAAACAGCAGTGGAACAACATCTTGATACTGTTTCTCCTTTGAATCCAGTTTTCAATAAAGCAAGGGAAATTAATGCTGCTAAAAATTATTTCCTTTATAAATGAGACATTTATTTTTGTCCTTTGCATAGAAAAACTACCCAAACAGAGGTGTATGCTTGTTGCTTTATATCTTCAGTTTGTATTCTTCATCTTCCTGGTTTGTCCTGGCCATCCTTGTAAGCACTTATTAATCCAATTAAATAGGCAGGAAAGAAGATGCTAAAATTGTAAGTGAACCACCCACATTCCAGGGCCCATGCGTGAGTCACACTGGGACATGAGAGGAAAAATGTTAAAAAGGTGCTGGTGTGGGAAGACAGCTGAAAACAAACAATGCCCTTTGTGCTGAAGTTTAAAAAAAATAGTCCAGAAGCAGTCTCAAATATCTAGTACTTCTAACTTCATCAGTTGAGTGCACTGTTTTTAATATTTTGATATTGTTGCTCCATAATTTCAATTAGTAAAGCAGTTTCTTTATTGGCTTTATACCTGACCTATATTTGCTCATATTAACTTGTCCTAAGTCTAGAGAATAAAATTCAAATCCCAAATATGTGTATAAAATGTACATTATGGAGAAAAGAGCATTGTCTTAGATTATGAATCCTGTATGTGTGTATATGTGCATAATATTTATTATACAATCATGTGCAAGTCTATTTGAAAGTTAGCCCCATTGATCATAGTGAGACCTACTCCCATGTAAGTAGTATACTTTTGTAGCCTTGAAACAGTAGATCACACAATTTTAAATAATAATTTTATATTAAGAAAAAGCCAGTATCTTACTAAACATTTGTCTGTGAACATTAAAAAATAGTAAATTCACTCTTGATTTTCTACAAGTGAATGCATATAATTTTTTAAAAAGATGATCAAGAAATATTTTCATTTTCTTTTTCATGGAAAGTAGAGTGGGTGCATTTTTAATAGTCAACATGTCATGTCACAATACTGAAAATATGACTAGTAAATGAAAATGTTTGATTCCCTGACTGGCATCTTAGTCCTAAGTAAGCCTGCTAATGTTTTATCATCAATGGGACCCTAAAGAAGACGAGTTAAATGCATTGCACAGAAGTATGCAAACATTTGCAGTTCTGGGCATACTTGCAAGTATGTAACTGAACTTGCTTCTGAGTAAACTTGTATGGGATTGGCCTGTATGTCCCATTGAAACTGTTAAGAATGAGAAGTCAGCATGTTATGATTAAACATACATTCATGCTTTGACATTTTAACACAAACCCCATGAAATCTCATGTTTATTTTATATGTAAAATAAACCTTATTGCATTCATGGAAGCTTTATTTATGTCAAGATGGAAAATAATATACTAAATCAGTGTCACTCATTTGCCCCATTGAAGAATTCTGCCATAATTGCATTTCATACTGGTGGTTAGAGTGCCAGTCACAGACCTACCTCACAGGGTTGTTGTTGGGATGATAAGCTTGAGAGGAGGAAGAGTATTATATATGTCACCTTGAGTTCCTTGAAAGGAAAAACAGCTGGGTATAAATACATCATACATAAATAGTATCAGAAGCTTGCTAATTGTGTTTGGAATTCTTCCAAATCTCACTGAACTTGCTGATATTTCTAGTTGTATTTTTTCAGGGAGATCAACTCAGGGGTGAACTTTTCTGTGAAGTCCACTTTTATGTTACAGTTCCTTGAAATAAATATTGCCATGTGTGATATCCCTTAGATACATTTTACTAATTCAGATATATCATCAGTTTTTACAAATTGTGAAGGTAAGAATTCATGAGTTCCTAGGGTCATTTACATTACAGTTTTAAATAACGTTTCCTTAGATAAACTCTATTGATTTCTAAGTGCATAGAACTAGGAATGGAATCCTATATGTGTTTAGACAGGAAAAAATTCTTCATCTCCCAATATTCTTTAACAAGTAATACTGTTTGAGGAATGCTGGGAGTTGTAGAACTTATTTCTGCTTTAAACATGCATGGAATTGCACCCTAGTAATATGAAGCTATAATTCTGTGCATACATGCCAGAGAATAATTTCTGCTGAACACTGTTAGAATAATTTATGACATGCATAATCATGCTGAATGTGACCTAAAGAAGAATTAGAATCTAGGTCTTGCAGATCCCAGTGCATTATTCCATCATTTATTACTTGACCACAGCAGGATTTGACCTTACTCTTTGGATATTATTTTGGTATCTGCTAAAACTGTTATGTTGTACATATGTTAATTATAATATGAATATTGTAGGTGAGAGCCAAAAGCAAATGTAACTTCTAGGTTTGGTATGCATTTATTTTCCAGGTTTTATGGGAATCCTGATTTTTTTTTGTCTCTCTGGCTGAGTCCATTCTGTGGCTTTATTTGGAAATGGTCTGCATAATATTAAAAAATGTTGTGCATGAAGTTTCATGCACAAATTTCATGATGCTTCATGCACACTATTAACAAAATAGAAATGTGAACACCTGTATTTAGATTGTGTTTGAAAATTTCAATTTATCTTGTTTGTTTTCTTCCTCTTGTATGAGCTCCTACAGCTAGAGAAGAGATATTTCATTCTGTGCAATCAAAACCAGTCTTCCCCCAAACTGGTGCCTTCCAGACATTTTGACTATGACTGCCATCGTTCCTAACCACTGGCTATAGTGATGGTAGCTGATGGAAGTTGATGACCAAAGCATTTGAAAGGCACCATGTTGGGAAAGCTGATCTCAATAAACATTGAAGAACTTCTAATGTAGGAGCCTGACTATACTTAACAAAGAGATAGGAAGCCCTGGAACTCATGGAGTGGGTTGGGGGACCTTTTCTGCAAAAGTTCATCCAATATGGAAAAGGAAACCTTTAAAAAGAAATATTATCTTTCAGAATCATCAGTGAAATAGTATTAGCAAATTAGTAACATCCTTTGGATTCTCATTTTTAAAAGTGCCCCCTAAAATATGATCTTCTTACATATCTGTATGATTATGCTGAGTTCTAAGGAATGAATTAAATCCATAATAGTATTCAGTTGAGTTCTACTTAGCTAGAGGGGCAGGGTTAGGTGATCTTCCTGTTCTGCCTCTCCCTGCAGCACCCTGTGCCCCTGGAAAGCTGTTTAGGGGAACTGTCTGGAGTAGCATGAAACTAATGTATGGGTCTGAAGGTTGATGTAAGAATCTGTGAAGATGGTCTCTCCCTTCTTCCTTTCTCTGCTAGGGAGGCTCAGCTGCGTTCCATGAATAGAAGGAGTTCATGGAATGGCCAGTCTGGATCCAGCCCAGTATTTCCAGACTCAAATAATGAAACATTCTGGGTTTATTTCCTTTCCGTAATGCTAACATTTTGTATTTCCAAGTGTTTTATTTTCATTTTTCCTATTTAACATAGCAAAAATATATGTTGAAGTAACTTTTTAGGCTATATCTTCATTTCCAGCATTGAATGTGTTTAGAGTTGTAATTTCAACAGAATTAAGCTAACTTCCATCTGTAAACATACCAAACAGTGCAGCATGATAGGCATTTCATGTTCCAAAAATGATCTGAATTTAGATTTAGCATCAATCAACACTGGATATATTTCAGGTTCATTCCAGTTTCTTTCTTCATGATTTTAAGGTTTCAGGAAAATTACATTGATGCTTTGGTCTTTTCTCCCTTGAGAAGAGGAAACCTTGCTGTAATATGGGTATAGTCTAAGCTTTTTAAAATGTACTTGAATAGGTATACTAATATTTTGGGGCCGAGTCTTACAAAAGTTAAGTACTTTTAAGCCCCATTGACTTTACTAAAAGAGATTTCAATATATACTTTTTCCATTGATATAAATAGCATTTCAGTTTGTCTGGTTCACACCTCTTGTTTGTCTTTGAAGTTTTCCATGCGACTTGGCTTTTGTCAGAGATGAGAATCCAAAGGGATTTCTACTTAATAATTTGCTTTCAATACTGGCATACTTAAGAATTTAGAAATTGCAGTAAGGTTTGGAGCAGTTTTCTTATGGCTATAAGAAATTAATATTCCTCAATTAGTATTTAGATACACTCGTTGTTCTCATAGTTGATAGCAGATTCTATTATAATTATAATTACTATTTCTGCACTGCCCAATAGCTGAAGCTTTGTGGGCAGTTTACAACAACATATAAAAATATAGTATAAATACAAACATCATTTAAAAATATCCAAAAAAGGTTATCATACAAAAAAATTTAAAATCAAATTTAAATCAAAAAGTTATAATAGTTTATACAAATTAAATCATAAGAATTGTTTAACCAACTAACAAAACCCCAGTGAACTAATGAAATTCTTTGTGGTAGAAGACAGTCTTAACCTGGTTCCAGAAGGATATTGAGATTAGTGCTAGGCGAGCATCAGTGGGGAGCTTGTTCCAAAATTGGGGTTCTACCACTGAAAAGACTCTTCTTGTTGCCACCAATCAAACTTCCCCTGGAGGTAGTGATTGAAGACAATCCCAGTTCTTGAAGTATCTAGGTAAATTGCAATCAGGAGAGGTGTTCCATAAGGAATTGCTGTCCCAAGCCATGCAGGCTTTATAGTTTAAAACTAGCACTCTGAATTGGACATGGAAGCATATAGGCAGCCAGTGCAAGCAGGCCAGAAATGGTGTTACATGTTCTCACCTTCTGGTTGTTAATCTGGCACCTACATTTTGCACAAGCTGCAGCTTCTGAACAGTTTTAAAGGGTAGACCCATGTAGAGTGCGTTGCAGTATTCTAATTTAGAGTTAACCAGAGTGTAGCTTACTGATAGGAGGCTGCTT